TTGCAGAAGAATTTACAAAAAAGGAAAAAAATCTAAAACCGTAGAAACACAACAACGGACAGCTGACTCTAATGGTTCACAACAACGTTTTGCAATACAATCTCATCACTCAGACAACTAATCCCAGACTCACTGGAACTTCTCGATATGCAGTTTTTGGACACAAGTTGACATTAAATGTGTGACGGTTGTGGACTGATGTTTCCATTCACCACGTGCAAACTCTGTCTAAACACAACAGAAAAAATGATTAAATATTGGATGGCTACCGATTTCCATGGGATAGAACAGAGATATGGCACTCACTTGTTCAAGAAGATCAGTGATCACCAACAGCTTCTATTGAACGGTGCTAAGGAAAAATATTGAGATAGACAGACTCACTTCTCAAAAGCACAGTGCGTCTGTTGCATTGAGATACTCTACCTTCCGTTTCAATTCACTATTCTTCTCTTGCTTTTCATTTTTCGATAACTCTCTTGTTGTTCGATTACTCCACATTGAAGCCTTTGTTTTACCTCATCATATTTAACCGCGACTGGTAATACTTCATCGTTCTCATTCGTCAGCAGTTCGTTCTCTGATACACCCTGATGCTGTTCATTATTGAGAATGAACAAAGCGTCGAGAAAATGCACTGGTGATGTCCCATTACACCGATCTCGCCAACATCGCCCATTAATATCTTGTATTTGGATTTCATTTGAGAATCGCACGCGTTTCTCTGGTCGAAGTTTGTCTGATTTCTGTTTCTTCGAACTCTGCCGGAGTGACCGGCCTGTCACATATTTTGATCTGTTGATAGAAACATGTCGATGTTTGATTTCGAATAATAAACGTCTACCACACTGATGCTTTTGAATCGATGCCACAACTTTGTAGATTTTTGAATTGTGTAATAGCGGATGAATGTCACGGTCCGTATGAACATAGAGAGTATAATCATCAATATCATCATTGTGAGTATCCAAATTAGATAGGAGTGCATGTATGACATCTCTTGCACTCGTCGAATGGTCTAAGTTTGTTAACCATGTCATGGTGTCATCAATACGAACGGGAATTTCGCTAATATACATTGTAGATAAACAAGAAGATCGAGTTTCATGCTCTCTCACGGATCGAAGCAGAGAGACGGATAAAACGTTGGCTCAACGAGTCTCAATCAATCGAGACAAATACATAATGACCAACTGATTGTCTTTTGTCCTTTACATAAATAAAAGAAAGATCATTCATCCTGTCTCGTTCGACTTTTATATGTCTATATTTGTGACTCATAGTGGGTTTGGTCTAATGATTTATATTAGACAAGGAGGAGAATGATATTTTTTCATGATCCAAAACTGTCAACGATCGAAGTGAGATATAGTTAACGCTCTATGATCCGTGTATAAATGTATCCATTTATTGCGTGAAAATACATACATTTGATATTGTTAAG